TTCCTGGGCAGCCCACAGCCCATAGCTGATCCATGAGGGAGTGTGAAGGCTGGGCCATGTCGGGCCAACTAGGATGACCGTAAAAGGCTTTTCCAGCTCCCAGGCTCCCTGTGGGGTCAGGCCCCGGCAGCTCAGCTCTCCTCTGCCCACTCCTGATTCCTTCTCCACCCTCCATGGCAGGGGGGGACCCCAAAAGCACCTTTTAATAAACCCTTGCATAGTAAACTCTGTCTCAGTCAGCTTCTCAGGAAACCCAGCCTACGACAAGTTTATTTGTGGGGTCTTTTGTCTTTGTTTTGAGACAGGGTCTTGCTCTGTCATCCAGGCTGGAGTGCAGTGGCACGATCATAGCTCACTGCAGCCTTGACCTCTTGGGCTCAAGCAATCTTCTCAGCTCAGCCTCCCAAGTAGCTGGGACTACAGGTGTGCACCACCATGCCTGGCTAATTTTTGTGTTTGTGTTTTTTTTGTAGAGATGGGGTATCACTATGTTGCCCAGCTGGTCTTAAATTCCTGGGCTCAAGTGATTCTCCTGCCTCAGTCTCTTATGTCGCTAGGATTGGGTGTGAGCTACCACACCCAGCTTGTGATCTTTTTCCTTAGAAAGGGAGAAGAGGACCAGTGTGAGGAAGATAGGTAGATCCCGTGGAGGTGATGGTGGGACACAACTAACAAAGGCATGATGCCCTCTGCACCCCACTTCTGCAGTGTCAGCAGTGGCGCTAAAACAGAAGCCACATGGCACTGGGTGGTGTGGGCCAGGGGCAACACCTAGGAAGACCAAAACCCAACAACACGGACAGAGAGACAAAGAGGCCACAGAGGGGAACTGGAGGAGGAAGTAGGCCCAGTAGAGTAGGGAAAGAGACACGCCTATTTAGGATCTTGTTTTACTAAATCCACAAAGACCAGCCATGGAAAGTGCCAGAAGAGTTCCCAGTGCCAAGTTAATCAGTAACTGGAAACTGGGCATCTTCAGACTCTGAGGGCTTATAAAGGTGACAAAGGGGATTCACAAGCTCTTCCCACAAAGTCAAATACCCAAAGGGACACCTGCAGTTTGATCCAGGAAGGGGTCCAGGCTAACCCAAACTCTACTTTGCTTTTCTCTTGGCCTGAATGACATCGCCTCTCATGGGGAGTTCTGTCACTCTGACTCTGCCTCCGCACCATTAAACATTCTTCTATTTGGAAGTAGAACCTAACCATTATTTAACAAATGTTGCATGTTGGGTAGACAAAATCTTTCCAGTAATATCAGATGTAGGGGAGGGAAAAGCATCTGTTGCAGGGAGCCTCAGCTGTCCAGCCTCCAGGGCCTGGAGGAGTACACAGTCTGGTCAAGGTCCCTGCAGAGGGCCAGGCAAATACTGCCAATGCTCAGACCAAAAGACTTCCTCCTCTGCCTCAAGGTAGGTCGCGAAAGAGCAGATGGAAGCTCTGCCACCAAAGCGGGTGTGGGGCAAACCCTCTCCCACACAGCTGGCAGCTCAGCCCTGGCATGAGCTCTGCAGGGACCAACCAAGCCACACCTAAAAGACACAAACCACCCAGCCCCACAGTCCCACTTCTGGGAGCTGATCTTGCAGCTACGCCTGCCCCTTGTAGTTGGGTACATTCCAAAGGCCCATCAGACAGGGCTGCTTAGGTGACCTGGGCACATGGCACAGCAGCCATGTATACCCAACTCAACACACACTGATGTAGAGCCACTGCCGAGACGCTGTGTGGTGGGACAGCATGCCACTGCTGGGGCTGGCAGAAACACACACATGCTCCTTACACCCAAGACGCTCGACTAGACAGGCCGGGAAAAGAGGCTCGGTTTTCACTGTGCGTGCTTGCTTATTTGTGAAGTTTATACGAAAAATGAACAAAATATATGATTCCATTTCTACATGAAATTCCAGAACAGGTAACGCCATAGAGATAGCACATTGGTTGTTGCCAGAAGCCGGGGGGTGGGGGGAAAACAGGGAGCAATTGCTTTTTGGGTATGGGGTTTCCTTCTGGGTTGATGAAAACATTTTGGAACCAGACAAGAGGTGTTCGTTGTACAACATTGTGAATGTATTAATATTAAACACCACTGAATTGTTCACTTCAAAAATGGTTAATTTTACGTTATGTAAATTTCATCTTGATAAAAAATTTTAAAAAATAAAAATAAAATAAAATAGGTTTCCACATCTCTGCTTGAGAGACAGTTTGGCAATGCTGGTTAGACGCATGGGCCCTGAGGCTGAACTGAACTATCAGGCTCAAGTCCCAGCAGCACCCAATATGACCTGTGCCACCGCCAATAAGTCATTTCATCTCCCTGAGCTTCCGTTTCCTCATCAGTAAAATAGGCGTAATGGGAGAACCTGCTTCTGAGAATGCTGTGACCAGTCAATTCAATAGTCAGCATCAAGTGTTTAGTACAGTGCCCAGCACAGACCAGGCCTACAGGGCCTCTGTCCTTGCTCTCTGCCCCACCAAGAACACCCTTTCCCTGGGCAAACACATGGTCCAGTCTCCTGCCTTCTTCATGCCTTTGCACAAATGCATCTTCTCGGTGGGACATTCCCTGATCACCCAATTTAGAACTGGAACTCTCTCTGCCACCCCCAGCCCCAGGGTTCCATCCCCCTCCTCTACCTTGTTTCTCTCCCTAGTGCTTGCTTATTTACTTCATTCATTCCTTGCCTCCTTCTACTGCACTGTCTGCTCCAAGGAGGCAGTGGTTCCCGTATCCTCAAGACCTGCAACAGAGTATGGCCTCAGGATAGGTGCTCAATAATTTTAATATATGCTGAATGGATGAGTGGCGTTAGCTAATACCACTGCTCTGATTCATGGGGTAAACTTGCATCTCAGGATAAATAAAACTGCTGTTTGTGTTGTCCAATGAGCTTGAAATTTACAACTAAATAAAAGTTTAAATTAAAAGACTCACAGTATTTCCAGCTATTACTCCCAAAGGTGGGAATGTGCTAAGGAGGAAGAGTTCAGTGAGATGGTGCCATGTGCTTTAAAAAATAAGCCAGTAGGCCAGGCACAGTGGCTCACACCTGTAATCCCAGCACTTTGGGAGGCTGAGGCAGGAGGATCACTTGAGACCAGGAGCTCAAGACCAGATTGGGCAACATAGGGAGAAACACCCACACGCATACCTCCACGCCTCCCTCCTCCCCCGCTTTCGCCTGAGTAGTCCTAGCGACTCAGGAGGCTGAGGTAGGAAGATGCCTAGACCCAGGAGGTCTAGGCTGCACTGCTGTCCAGCCTGGGCACCAAGGCAAGCCCCTGTCTCAGAAAAAAAATATTTAAAAAAGTAAGCTGTAAACAGTCACCCTGAACTCAGCCTGCTGAGTATGGGGTGAGAACTGGCTCCCATGAGAAGCAAAACACAATGCTACCATAAGTTGCATATGTCCAGCAGCCCAGTGCCTTGGACCCTGGTCCCTCAAAGGACCTTGGGACACGTTTGTTTACGGAGAATAAGCGTAGACTGACAGTAGTAAGCCAGCTGTCTTCCTCTCCCAGAGCCTTCCCTTCCCCTGCCCTCCATTCAGCAGAGCTGCCACCCCAGCAGGACTCAGGCTACGGGGAACTCGTGAGCTCAATTATCCAAAGTTAAAAAATGAAAAAGAAAAACCCCTCTGATTCTCTACAAATGGGCTGTCTTTCTAGTTAGCTTTCCTATGAGACAACTAATCACTACTCAACAGGATACAGCTACCACCAATCCCCGTGTAAAGAAAAAAAAGTTGAAGCTAGCAGTCTCCAAGAGTTTGTGGTTTTAAAAAAGAGAATAAAACAGAACATGCAAGTTTGAGTAAAACCAGGAAGACACATTTTCCATACCATTTCGTGCCACGGCCGTGGTACAACCTGGCTGTCGGCTGGTACCCGGGTGTGGGCTGGGTTAGGAGGCACATAGTCCAGCAGGGTTCAAATCTCACTGCACATCTCACCGTTCACATCTCACCACACATCTCACAGCACATCAGCATCACAGGTTGCTGGGTCCCATCCCACGGCTTCTTTTTTTTTTTTTTTTTTTTTTTTTTGAGAAGGAGTTTCGCTCTTGTTACCCAGGCTGGAGTGCAATGGCGCGATCTCGGCTCACCGCAACCTCCGCCTCCTGGATTCAGGCAATTCTCCTGCCTCAGCCTCCTGAGTAGCTGGGATTACAGGCACACGCCACCATGCCCAGCTGATTTTTTGTATTTTTAGTAGAGACGGGGTTTCACCATGTTGACCAGGATGGTCTCGATCTCTTGACCTCGTGATCCACCCGCCTCGGCCTCCCAAAGTGCTGGGATTACAGGCTTGAGCCACCGCGCCCGGCCAACGGCTTCTGATTCAGTAGGTCTGTGGTGGGACCCAAGAATTTCCATTTCTAATCAGTTTCCAGGCGAAAGGATGCTGCTGATCCAGGGACTGCACGTAAGAATCACTGCTCTACAACAGTCTTTCATGGTAGTGTTTGACCCACCTCAACTGCACACGAGTATACACACACACACACACACACACACACAAAAAAACAAAAAAACACACAAACAAAAAAAAAGACCAATGGTCCTGCAAACAGCAAGATCAACCAGATCTGCCCAACCAAGTACAGACTGAATGCTCAGGGGTACTTGCCCCTGAAAAAGCTGCCCCCATTCAGGTCACTGCAAGAAGCTTTAAAGTCACACCCAAGACCCCTGAAATTCAAAGTCACAGCATTTCTCTTTTCTGAGAGCAGTCACGAGCAATCCCACCCTGCTGCACCCTTCACACATGGGTAACCCCCAGATGCAAGGTCCGCTTTCTGCGCCAGGATGCTTTCAAGTTTCTGAATCAGAAAAAGAAGCTGAAAGAGGAAGCCAAACACAAAAAAATTAAAAAAAATAGGCCACTCAAGGAGGGGTAGCTACAGTCTGCAGCATCCCGGGTGGGGAGCATGTTCCCCAATCTCAAGAACCCCATCACCTCACCATGGGCAACTCCACGAGCCTCTCACTCACCAAAGTAATCGGCCTTCGGGTGAGCATCCATCTCTCGCTCCAGACGTTGGGTGAGGGCTTCTAATTTCAACTCAGCGGCCGAGGGTCTCAGCTCAGGACCTGGGACGAGGGGCTGGCAGGGCAGCCTTACCCTAGGGGAGCTGGGGCTCTCCAGGAGCACAGGTCCCAGGCTACTATCAGAGGACCAGCCCAGGGGACCCTCTTTACAAGATAACTCAGGCAGGGTGGACATCACTGGATGGACAAGGCTGGTGGAGCTGAGCTTGGGACCCGTGCCAAGGTCTGTGCAGCCAGGCTTCAGCCCCAGCCCAGGGACTGCACCCGATTGTGAACTGTCCAGGCCAGCAGGTGAGGATGATGGGGCAGAACTCGAAAGGTAAGATTTGGGCCCATCGTGGAACCAGGCTTGGGGGTCCACATTGGGTTTGGACGTCACACTTGAAACCTCACCCCCTGGCCGCGTGTTTGTTCTTGGAAGACCTCCTTGCCTGGGGCAGCTCAGGGCCAGGGGTGCTGACACAGAAGGGGTCCTGGGCTGAGCAGGCCCCAGGGCTGGAACTCCATTCTCCAAGTTTGGGGAAGGCAAGCCAGGGCTCACTCGCTGGGAGGAGGCAGTGGACCAAAGGCCTGCTGGCTTCTCGCTGCTGCGGCCACTAATGCCAGTATCCTGACCACCGAGGCTACCCTCAGAAGACCTGCTGGAGCTCAGGGAGAGCTGTCGCTGGTTTAGGGGATGGTCCCCGCAAGGTTTGGGCAATGGTGGGTCACTCCCTGGGGGGCTAGGCCACCCACTCCCTACACCCAGGCCGACGCTAGGGGACACTCCTGGTTTGTCACCCCACTTAGGGCTGGCCAAGCAGAGATTGTCATAATAGTCTCCATGAGTGAGGCAGGAAGGATCCTCGCAGGGGCCTGGCTGGTGGAAAGCAGGCATCTCAGAACTGGCCGGGCTCTCCTTGAAACCACAGTCCTGGCTGCCATGCCTTGTGCCATGCAGGTATGGCCTGGCTCTCTGCTCCTGCGGTGGGCACGGGGGCTGCCCAGCAGCGAGGGTGGTGGCTGCCCCAGGTGCCCCTGTCGAGGCAGCAAGAGGGGGTTTGGCAGCACCATCCACAGAAAGCTTGCTGCCCACACCAGCTTCCCGATGGGCTTGTGGGCCCAGGCGGCCCCCTCCATTGACAGGGCCTCTGCTCCCCCGGGGCAGGGTCTCCTCCTGCAGGAGCTGCTGCTGCTGCTGGAGGTGGATTTTGGCCATCTTGGTGGCGAACACCCTGCGAGTTTCCTCAAACTCGGGGTTGTTGCCTGCACCCTTGTCCACTCGGAAGAGCCCATCCTTGGAGGCCTCATACATGTTCAGGTCCTCGATGAATTTACTGGCCTCCAGGCCCAGGTCGTCATACTTATCCATGCTGCAGACAGGTGTCCCGCCTAGCCCAGGTGCCGGATGTGTGGGTGTTGAGGGCAGCGGGGAGATGTTGGCGAAGAGTGGGGGCTCAAGGCCGGCCCAGAAGAGGTAAAGACTTCCACCTGCCCAGCGTGAGGGGCATGACCCCACGACTTAAGAGTCCAGCGGAACTTGAGGCCACCACGCCAGCTGGACCAAGTTTGCTTCTCACTCCCTTTCGCCTGAAGACGTCCTTGTGGGGGAGCTGGGGGCGCTTCGCTGTCCCGGGCCTGCTCAGTGGAGTTCTTTTCTCCTCTTCAAATCATAAAAGGAAAAAGAAAACAGCAAAAAAGTAAAATCACATCCTCCTTAGGCAACCAAACATGAAAACCCACAGCAAGGCAGCAGCCGACTGGGCCGGGTGAAGCTGATTCGGCCGGGAGGGCAGAGGCCGCGGGTCCGGCCCGGAGCAAAGGCGCAGCGGCGGAGGCGCAGGTACGTCCCGGGCGCTGGGTCCTCCGCGGATTCCCCGGAGCTGCGATCCCGGCCGGCGCCAGGCGGGAGCGCGGTCCGGGGCACGCGGGCGGCCGAGCCGCGGCAGGAAGTTCACAGCAGCTGGGGCGAGCGACCCATTGTCCGATGGCGGCGGCGGCTCGGCGCGCGCGGGCCGGAGGGCGGCGGGACGCGGAAGTGAGTGCGCCAGGCACAGTCCCTGCGGCTCGCTAGCCGGCTCTGCACGTCCCGAGCCCGCGCGAGGGCGGAGGGGGCGGCCGAGGGGCGGGGACGGCGTGCGGGCGGGCGCCACGGGGCACGCCTGCCCCCGGCAGCGTGGCTGGGCTTCCCGTCCCCGGGCCTGGCTGGAGAACCCCGAGGGGTGCCCCGCACGTCCGTCCCGCGCTCTAGCACTGGGACTGCACGGGAGTTCGCCGCCGCCGCTGCCGCCCGCTGCGAGTCCCGGACCCAACTGGGGGCTCCGAGCTCCCTTCCAGTCCCGGGTCCTCCGCCCGGCCCCGCCCCTGGCAGCGCTGGGCGGGGTCCTCCGCTAGGAGATGGGCGGGCTGCGTAGCCTGCGAGGACCCAACACAGGCGCTGGGAGTTTGCGAGGAGTTTCGAGGAGGCGCGCTCCTCGCCTCACTGCCTCAGTTTCCCTGGTGGAAAGCCAGCCCTATGTGCCGCTCGAGGCCGCCACTGTCCAAGCTGTGCCCGCCTCCCCGCTTGCCCGAGTTACACTATTGGAGAGGTGCACGGGCGTGTCACCCGTGGCTGGCCCAACGTCCTCTTTGACAGGTAGGGAGACTGAGGCAGAGAGGGGGAAATGTCCGAGATGCCAACATAACCAGCAAAGCGTGGATGGGAGCCCGGGCCCTCTGTAAGGGCGGAAAAGAGGAAAGTGCACCCTTACCCCGCGCGCGTTTCACATTCTCAGTGCAGCAGTAAAAGCACGTGCCCTGGTAGGCTTGCTATTCACAGAGGGACTCTGCAAGTGGATCGGCGCGGCTCCAGGAGCGCCAGGCCTGACTCCTTGGCGCCCCCACATGGCCCGGGACTTCCTACACCACTCCCCACACCAGCTCCGAGACGACCCCGGAGAGGTTCCATTTCCTACACAACAGCCAACATGGTTCTAGGGCAAATACTAGAGCAGTCACCTCTCTGCTTGCAGTCCTCAGTGCTTACCCCGGACTTAAATTGAAATTGGCTTTTTACCACAGCCTTCCGGGCCTGGTCTGGGGGTCTCCCCTCCCTCCCTGCACTCTAGCTGCAGGAGCTTCCTGGTATCTGCCCAGAGCTGGCCTCCAAACTGGGTGGCTCATCTTTCTCATCCCTGCTGAAGTCACCTCCTCCTAGAGGCCTTCTCGAAGTGGTTCCTGTTATTCTTTTTCAGCACCATCTTTACTTCCTGTTCAGTTCTGACAACTATCTGTAATTACTTATTCGCCGGTTTACCTGCGTTTTTCTGTTTGGTTAGGTAGTAGGTTTTCCACTCCATTAGACTATGGCATATCTGCATGCAAAGTGCCTGGTATATATTAATAGTAATACCTAATGGTTGAATAAGTGAATTAGCAAACCCCTATCTGCCAGAGTTGTGACAGGAAACAGGTAACATAGTATACATGAATGTGCTTTGTAGGTCACTGACCAGTCTGTGGCCTGTTAGGAACTGGGCCGCACAGCAGGAGGTGAGAGGGGGCAAGCCAGCCAAGCTTCATCTGTATTTACAGCCACTCCCCATCACTGGCATTGCCTCCTGAGCTTCACCTCCTGTCAGATCAGCAGTGGCATTAGATTCTCATAGGAGGCAACAAACCTTATGGTAAACTGCCCTCGTGAGGAATCTAGGTTGCACGCCCCTTATGAGAATCTCATGTCTGATGATCTGAGGTGGAACAACTTCATCCCGTCTGTGAAAAAACTACCTTCCATTAAACTGGTCCCTCATGCCAAAAAGATTGAGTACTGCTGTTGTAAACCCAAAGTGTGGTTGGTGGATTCCATATCACCAGGGAGCTTGTTGAAAATGCAGAATCTTAGGCCAAACTATCAAGCTACTGAATCAGAATCTGCATTTTAACAAGATTTCTGGGGGATTTGCTTGCATGATAAAGTTTGAGAAGCACTGCTACAAAGCACTATACTAAAATGAAGTATTTTTATTAAAAAATTTATTTTTGTTTTTTATCTACAAGTACTACATGTTTCTATAACAATTTTGAACAATACAGACATACATAAATTTTTAAAAGTTATCCACAATTCCCTTTCTCAGAGGTAATCATAATTAAACAGCACTTAGGTGTTGGATAATACTTATTAATTAATCACTGGATTTAGGCTGGAGACCAGCCTGGCTAACAAAGCAAGACCCATGTCTACAAAAAAAAATTAAAAATCAGCCAGGTGTGTTGGTACACACCTGTAGTCTTAGCTACTGGGGAGATTGAAGAGAGAGGATCACTTGAGTCCAGGAATTCAAGGCTTCAGTGAGCTGTGATTGTGCCACTGCACTCCAGCCTGGGTGACAGAGTGAGACAATAAAACAACTGGACTCATAAATCAAGTGATTTGCTTATGAAATTTCTAGAACAGTAGTTCTCCAAGTGTGGCCCTGAAGCCAACAGCATTAGCGTCTCCTGGAACTGGTCTAGACTAGTGCTCCCAAGCTTGAACATATATCAGAGTTCTTTGGGGAGCTTATTAAAACACTGATTCTGGACCCCACCCCCAGAGTTTCTGATTCTGCAGGTCTCAGATGGGGACTAAGAATGAGTGTCTCTAACAAGTTCCCAGATGATGCGCTGATGCTGCTGGTTCAGGGGCCACACACTGCTACACCAATCCACTTTGAGAAACCCAAGTCTAGAGTCCTGATTCCATGCTTCCCCAGGCACGGTGTGGCAGCGGCCCTTGATACACATAGGGGTGCATTTTCGTTTGGAGTGGAAGACTAGCTCACTTTGCCTGACCTCCAGATATGGAGGCTGTGGCTGACAAAGTGCTGGGAATATGTGGCCATCCCTGTATAAAAGTCTAGTAACCTCAGAGCCAGCTTCCTGGGTTTTCAGTTTGGACTGCTGGGACCCTGGTGCAGGAGCTGCAGACACTAAACAGGGCTATTACATTTGTCTTCTCTTTTCATCCTATCTTGGTGATGGCAGCAGTGGTCTATCTGGAGTGGCTACTGCCATGATGCTAGCTACAGTGGCAAGGTGTGGCCAGGACTGCAGGCTCTGTGGAGCTGGCAGGAGCTAGGAACAGGCAGGAGCCCCACTCCTTTCTGAGTTAGAGGGGTGGCAGCCCTGCCCAGGCACAGCTGCAGCCACCCAGGTCCCAGCTGTGGCTACAGACCTAGGCATTCCTGTGCTCTCAGGGAGCTAGAAAGCCCCCCCTTCCCCCATAGGCTCAGAAGTGCCTGCTCCTGCTGCCTGGCCTCTCCTGGTACCCACTCTGATTTTGGAGCAAAGTTGAAGCTGAGCCAAGGTGCTGTCATGACCCAGCTGGGCGTGCACGCACTCAGGGAAGCACTGACACACCAGTCCACTGCCGCCTCGGCCTCCTCCAGGCTTTGGACGTTGATGAGCATGGGAGGGAGGCCAGGGTGGGGCTAATGGAAGCTCAACATGTGCCTGTAGGCACCTCTCAGCATAATCAGCCTGAGTGCCATGGGTGCCATGGACAGCAGGTTTTGGCAGCAGGAGGCAAACAGCTTCCTGGGTGGAATGGGGCAGGTCGCTGGTGAAGCCCCACCTTCAAGCCAGGGATGGCCTGAAGCCTAGGGGCTGGGTTTTCAGTTTCGAGGACTGGAGTGAGAACTTACGGTGCTTTTACCGGGCCAGCCCATGGCTGCCCATGGACCAATCAGGACACACTTCCTCCCTTCTGAAATCCATAAAAACCCCAGACTCAGCCAGACTCAGGCAGACAATGGGATGAGCTGCATGCAGATAGGAGCTACCCACTTGAGTCTCTCTGCTGAGGGCTGCAGAGACATCAGGGCAACCTTCCTGTGGAAGGGAGCTACCCACTGTGGGTCTCCTCTGCACTGAGAGCTGGATGCCCATCAGGACAACCTGCCTGTGGAAAGGAGATACCCACTGAGAACTGTTCTGCCACTCAGTGAAGCTCCTTTCTGCCTTGCTCACCCTCCAGTTGTCCACATACCTCATTCTTCCAGGACACGGGACAAGTAATCAGGACCTGCTGGCCAAATGGCGGCACTAAAAGAGCTGTAACAGAAACAGGGCTGAAACACACCCCTTGCTTGCCACATTATGGGCAAAACAAGGAGAGAAGAACTGTAGCCCTTTGGGGAGACCAGGCCTAGGAGCTCCCCAGCCCAGGGCTATAATACCCTCTCTGGGGCTCTGTGGTTCCTGGTGTCTCCAAGCTTCTAGGTGCCACTGCATTCCCCCGTGCCAGCTGTTGAAACTACCTGTGGTATGCCTGGTCCAGCTGCAGCCTCACAGGGAGATATGTCCATGCTGGCACCTGGAGCTACCAACCCTGCCACAGCTGGCATGCCTGGCTGTGTGCAGAGGCCAGACCCCATGCTTGCTTGCTCACACATCTCTCGCTGCTCTGTGCCTGGCTTGCCCTTGGCAGGCATGGGATCCAGGCCAGTAGCACAAGCTGCGCACAGCTTGCCAGGCTAAGTGGGTGAAATGAGCCCAGGGGGCCTGAGCAAACTTGGACAAAGGCACCACTGCCTACAAAGGTTTCTGGCTGGAAAAGCAACAACCCAAGTATCCTGTGACGTTGGCACCTACATGAGCCCATAATCTTTGATGCCCTCCTGCCTCCTTGCATCTTGGCTTAGCTGGAGTGCTCAGCATTCCAGAAGCTTGTAGACATTACTCTCCACTCCTACTGCCATCCTAGAACAGTTGCACCATCTCCATCAACTAAGCACAAACCTAAACACACAATCCACATATTTCCTGTGCCAGCTGGCTTGTCCTCTCTTAGTCAATGGAGCACCTTACACCATTACAAAATAGCTTATAAAGATGGTATCTCAGCCGAGCAGTGGCTCCCTCTTGTAATCCCAGAACTTTGTGAGGCCAAGGAGGGAGGAATGCTTGAGGCCAGGAGTTCGAGACCAGCCTGGGCAACAAACATGTGAGAACTCAACTCTACAAAAAAAAAAAAAAAAATTTAGCCAGGTAGGGTGGCACAGGCCTGTAGTATTGCATCACTGTTCTCCAGCCTGGGTGAAAGAACAAGACCCT